CATTAGCCCTTAGGATATCGGTTTTCACAATCCATCAATAAACATAGAATCCCATCATAAGCATATTATTCATGAATTTGGAAAAAGCAATATGTCAGTAGTTTTGCTACTAGTTTTGTTCTGCTTTTATATTTTTGAAACAGTTCAATAAGACATGGCTTTTTAAACGTCATTATACCCAAGCGTCTTCATTAAGTTTCGTCTCAACCAACTTTACTGGCGGCTAAATTAAGGCGAGGAAATCACAAGATTAATAGGACTTGATAACATAAGTTATGCCAGCTCTAAAGGATATGAACGAGACCATAGATGTGTTAAGCCGGAACTGTTATCATCTTAAGACTTTGATAGCAAACATTGACTGATATATTTGTTTTTTATAAACATCTGACAACAATTTCTTAAATGTTTGTTTAATATGAATCATGTTTGAGGTATGTACTTAACAAGATATTTTGCATTGGAAAACAACTTCAATCACAAATTGATATGACATATATTGTATTAAGAATGGAATGGGTTGCAGTTGCAAAATAAATAGAGCAAGCTTCATGAATGATGCATAAGTAGTAAGATGCACTAATTGAACAGATACTGAATATTGGCTTAGGACACCAACAAATAATAATTTTGAAACAACACATTTATAAAGCATTTAAAAGTGTTGCTTCCTACTCGATGCACAACAGCTGCTAGATGACATTTCAGACTGTATTTGAGTTTTATTTGAATCCCCAGTGATTGAGAAAATGTAAGTTTTACTGACTTGCCGTTAATGTTTTGTTCCATAGCAGTAAGAAACATATTTGCTTTTCAGTTGTGTTGGGGGGCAGTCAGATGAGCTTCTGTGATGGTATCGGAGCTGTGCTGTCTTTCCAAATCCACCAGAGAGAAGCACACTCTGGTTGAAGTGCTCCATGTTGACTCTGTTCACAAGGCCAAACTAAAGTCTGTGTGTGCCACAGCTGTGGCTTTATCTGTGAAGTGCCAACTTGGCATCGCCCTGAGAAAAAACTCCCACCCTCTTGTCCACATCAGCAGCTTTACCAGGGACTGTCTGTCTGTACGTCATACCACCAGACTGCTGGGCACACAGTATCATGACATGATTATTCTAAGGAAATGGAAAATCTTTCGGCTACTAAGCGTTTATAAATACATGCTTGAAAAGAATCTGTCCAAGCTGTTAGGCGACAAGATATTTAGTGAGAGGGGAACAGGCCAACTGTAGAAGCTTACATTATATACAGAATATGCAAAACACTTTGAAATAATGTTAAACTTTGTTGGTATTGTTGGTTAAAGTTTTATTCCCTTTTCTTCTTGCCACTTGGATTAGACTGACATATCAGCATCACATCTTATAAACTGTTATGCTGTTGTTGTTTTTGGCATACAGTTACCTATTTACCCATGGGCACGGAGAAACACAAATATTTATCTGGAGTTCTGCAGGAAATGATCTGGCTTTTCAGATGCAAAAGGCTCCTCTGTGTTTACCAGGTAGCTGCTAATCTTATCTGCATCTTTTTAATTGATAAGCATGTAGCATACAGTGTGTTCTCAGAACCCTTTTGCCTCTTTAGTCTAAAGATAAAATGGAAAACTAAACTAAATGAACTTATTAGAATGTGTTTTAGACTGACAAAAAAAGACATTTAGAGACATTAACTTGAACTCTGAAAAACCTTACATAGACAACCAAGCGGTAAGAACATTATAGCTTGGTTGCAGTATAAGAACACTTATAAATTATAGCAGTTTTGTCCCATGCAAATCTCTGATCTCATTTCCAGCGTTTGCTCTCAGACTTTGTGTCACCTGTTTGCTTCCAGGGACACAAATTCACACCTGCCCTACCCGGCATCCCGAAGCTATTTCCGTCCACTTCATCGCTCTTGCAGAACAACTTTCATTCATCAGTCTCTATTCTTGGCCCTGTAATGCTTAACACCATGTGCCAAGTTCACTACAAGTGTTCCTAGAATCTCTCTATATGTTAGCCGCACAGATAACCCAATTCAACCTCTTATAAGCTTCCACAGAAGAACCGTTTTATATATAATTGTACACGCTGCTATTCTGAGAGGATTGTCGGTTTGCAATTTAAAGGTACATTTGGTTCAAGAAAGGATTCAATTCATGGGTGAATGACAACAATTTGATTTAAAAATATGCGCTAACATTTGTGCTTTTCGGCTATAATTGAACAAGAACACACATCTCTGGGCAAACAACTGAATTAAAACGTACATTTAGCTACAGTAGGGCTGCACGATTTTGGGAAAAAATCTAATAGCGATTTTCTGACAAATATTGCGATTGTGAAATCGATTTGCGATATTTGTTTTTAAGCGACCCAACGGAAGTTTACTGTAAAATGCGGCCATATCTCCGGCTATGAAGGTCGTATCTGACACACAAGAAGAACAAAACAAAACAAAAATTGTAAAAAAAAAAAAGTTTAATTTTTTTTGCAGGCTTTGCAATTTGATAATCGCATCATTTCAAATCGCGATTTCGATTTAAAATCGATTAATCGTTCAGCCCTAACCTACAGTCATGAGACAAAGACCGTTACATTTATCCTGTTTAATCTAATCAAACAACACATCTTTATTGTGCTTCAACCTCTCACTCCGTTTACACTGCTCACAATTGTTTGAACAACAATAACAACCAACACTTTTTCTGCTGTGTTTAGGGAACTAATTACGGAAACCTGGGCCGTTCCGATAAAAGGCCGGGGCGACTTTAGCTATTCATAGCCTTCCTCCTCTGAGCTCACAGCAGTGAACTGGGAGTCCCGGGGGGGCTCAGTGCAATCTGAGATAGGTCTAATGCTTCCCACCACAGCACCGTGCAGCAGAGAGGGGAGAAGCCTTACAAAGGGACCAGTGGCTTCTCCTCAAGGTCAAAGCAATTGGTTTCCGCTGAGACAGATAAAGTATGTGAGCCACCGGAAAAAAATTCTCATCATGTCTGTAGTGCATTGAGAACCGCCGTCTGCATAGCTGATTCTTAATTTCTCACAGTAATGATTAGCTAAACACCTCATGTGGGCTTTGAAAAGGCCCATTGGCACCATTTAAAGCTACATTAGCTAAGATTATGTACAATTCAACAGACAAAAAGAAACCCCTTCATGGGAATGTGTGTGACCAGCTTTGAAACTCTGACCTCATAGTGAACCACCAAGTGTAATTTGGGTATACATCGAGATAATACAAAATTAAAATCCCAGAAAGAATTGTTACTAATTAAGGATTAGACAAAAAAAGATCACTCTAAATGTCCTTCCTTTGTGTATTCACAATATGACAATTGTTAGGAAGACCCCTTTTGTATATATTGTGGACTACTTAGAGAAATATGTGACAGCATGACTTTCATATGGGCTTAAAGCACAATGTAAATATGTGACGGATAGAAAGCAAGTGTTTAACTGTAAATATGTTGGAGCTGCCTTGTCATGCTCAGTTTTGGTAAATTGTTTTAAGATTTGTAGAATTTGTATCTTGGCCTCTGCAAATACATTCACAGTTTGTCCCCCTTTTATTAAGAGGCTCCACTCTCGCCCCTTGTCTTACAGCTTTATGAATTGTTGATCATTGATACTAAACAGCCTTCAGGATGGAACTGCTTTCCATGTTACTTTCGCAGCCCACCACCACTTTGAATTGACAAATCCATGATTCACACATCCCACTTTCCTTTATTTACATAAGTCTTTCTTGCCACTTGAATGTTGAGTCAGTGGAATAACATTGTGTTTTATGAGGATTTGCTTTTGAGTTCTTTACGTTGTTTGCTTGAGCTCTAGTCTGGTTTTAGATTCCATAGATAATAAATCCAGACACACATAGTTGTTGGTAAAGCGTAAATAAAAAGAGATAATGGAAAAAAATTCGAGAAGAATCAAAACATAGCAGTTTTTTAAACTTTTTTAGCATCAAACAAGTGTTACTCTTTTGCTCTTTGAAACGGTTGTTCTAATAGACAACTACTACAGTTTTAATAGAGAAATCAGCCAATTAATAAAAGCATTTTTTCCATCATTTTGCAAGCAGAACAATCTGACACTGATCTCATTGCATTGCTTTGGTATTGTCAAGATGTGGAGAATCCCCATACTGTCACTTTAAGTCACTTTTAAATATACCATTGTATCAATTTTATTTGTATGAAAGCCTGAAGAAAAGTTTGATGGATGAACTGGATTTGTATAGCCTCATGAGACTACACAATACCCATCTAAATTGGTATGTGGAGAGAAAGGTTTTTGCACCAATAGTGCTTGTCATGTTGCATGTAGGTGCAGGGACATTTGGACTGAAAGAAGCTTCAAGAGAGTTGATGCTTTCATGGTGACAGATTAGAGCTGTAGTTGGATTCCTGTCTGCTTTCTCAGAGAGAAGCTGTCTCATTGTAGATAAAGCTCTGGAGCCTCTCCCTCAATTGCACATATGCTTTGGGACATTACAGAAGCAGGCTGTGTGACTTGTGTGTTTATTCAGAAGGGTTGCCATCTTAATCTAGTGAATGCACAGCAGCAACACAGGATTTACAACATAAACAATGTTTATTTTTTCCAAAGCATGTATTTCCTGGTAAGTTTTGGATTTGACAGATTGGACTTTTTTTTATGTATTTGTAGGAAGACTAGAAGCTCTCAAGGCTTTCCTGTCAGCATGTGAGCCACAGCATCCAGCGCTGTGTGATCTGAAGCCAAACCAAATCACAGCCTTTTTGTCCTTGTCTGCTTCTCAACAGCAATGGTTTGGCTCCAAGGGCAAATGGTTAATGTTAATTATTTTAATTTAGAGGGAACATGCAATAGTCCCACAATAAGCAATTAACTGTTTAGTGGATAATTCTTTCATCCAAGCAGTTGTTTGATCATTACATGTTTGCCTCACAAACACAAGCTGAGTTTGGAAATGAAACATTACCATATTTTAACCATCGGCCACTCTTGTCCTTTTTGTTTCTCTTTGCAGAATGCCAAGGCCTTCTCCTCCTCAGACAGCCTAGCGAAGGTCCAGGAGGTAGCAAGCTGGCTTTTGGAAATGAACCAGGATCTGCTGTCGGGGGGCAGCAGCAGCAGGCGGGGTCGGGGGCCGGGGGGTCCGGCAGTCCGAGGTAACGCCTCCTCCACGACCCGGGCACCCCAACAGGCAGCAGAGGAGGGTGATGAGGATGAGCACATGAACCGGGTAGTAGAGGAGGAAGAGCAGCTGCAGCAGAGGGTAAGGCCAGCGGACATTCAACACAAAACATTGATAGGAAGGCTTTAGAAAGATTCATCAAGGCATGTACGTTTTGAATATATTGCGATGGCATAACCACACTTTTACTAATGATTGAAGCTGCTGGCGGAACGTGGGAAATCAGCGCATGCTAATTATGTTCCAGTGATTCGCTCTCCAAATGTTCACATAGTCAAATCTTCTTTATATTTTTTTTTTCAGCAAAGTGTGTGGTGTCTTTTTAAAAATATTGTTTTGTACCTGCTTTTTATTTTTATACAGGAAATAACTTCTTTTTTTATACAGGAAATAACTTCCCAACTTATGGTTGCTTGGTAACCTTATCCTTTTTATACCCTACTAACCGGTATTACACAAACTGTGTAAAAAAGATCCACAGCTCTGTGCCGGCAACTGAAGAAAATATACACAGGTCTGAACCCTTCAGGTCTTTAATGTAGCCCAAAGAGGACATGTCTGCGGAGACTTTAATATGACGGACTTGAACCGATTTTCCGGTTAAAAAAATTGGACCTATGGCAATAGCAAAACCCCTTCGACAGATTGAATTTACCATCAGACCGTTCCTCTGAGGCATTGTGTTTTCTTTGGCTCCTCACAGGCTGAGGCGTCGCAGGTTGATGGCGAGAGGGAACAACCATGGGCGCCAAGTGAGTCGGGAGCCAGCAACGGCCCCCGGGGGGACGAGGACGGCGAGGAAGACGAGGAGGGGCCTCCAAACGAAGTGAACGGAGGCGAGAAAGGAGCCCGATGGATGTGGGGGGCGGAGCAGAGGAGACTACGAGGCCAGCCGCTGGGCGAGGAGGAAGAGGAGGAGGAGGAGGAGGAAGAGGAGGAGAACAACAACAGCAGCAGTCACCAAGAGGAGGAGGAGGCGGAGGAGAGGACAGAGGGAGGGGAGTCACAGGGGAGGGAGGGGGAGGAGGGCGAGGAGGAAGAGGAGGAGGATGAGGACGAGGAGGAGATGGACCAAGATAGTGACGAGTTTGAACATTCGGCGGAGAGTGGCAGGGAGGAGGAAGAGGAGGAGGAAGGAGAGGGGGAGGACGGGCTTCGGTGTCCCTCCCTCAGGAACAATGTGTCCACCCCCAATAACAACCTGGACTCGGGTTGTACTCACCAAAGCTCTTCCAACAAGAAGGTAAGAACCGTTTTCATAGGAGTGCTTTACCTCCCCCTGAAGAAGTAGTCCTCTTCACAGAGAGTGGTCTAACACCCCCAGAGTTTACAGGGACAGTGTTTCTGGAATCAATACTATAGGACCACAAACAACATGTAATGCATCTCCATTGTATCAGAGTAAAGGCAGGACCCAATACATCATGACTAAATGAAACAAAGCATTTTCACGACTGACCAGGTACCGCTAGACTCAAGTAAGAATACTTTCAATTCCAGTGTAAAGACCCTTTAAGATACTTCTGCAGCAGTTTCTCACAGACACTGTTTGACTGTTGTCACATCGCTGCTGTGAAAAACTCCCCACAATGCTCTGCACTGGCAGCAAACGTTTATATTTGAAGCAGCAGCTCCCTCTTCTGGCATACGAGTGCAATTGCACTTCAATAAAGTTCAGTATACAGTACTTTTTATTTGTGACAACTCTTACCCTAGGACAGGGGTCGGCAACCCTGTCTAAGCTCCCTTGAGCTTAGACAAAAATAAGAAGGAAATAAAATAAAAATATTTGTAGGACTATTTATATTTTGTTGCATGGTTGAAAATGTTTTGTATCTTGTATTTTGAGGTGATACTGTGACACATAAATAAAAAACAAAATGGTTTTAATTAGGTCAACTAAAATATGCGTCACATCCTGCTACGGTCCCGCACCAGCGCCTTTTCTTGCAGGCGAATANCAACCCGCGGCCCTCGAGCCCCATGCGGCCCTTTAAGCCCTCTGCTCTGGCTCCCTTGAGCTTAGACAAAAATAAGAAGGAAATAAAATAAAAGTATTTGTAGGACTATTTATATTTTGTTGCATGGTTGAAAAATGTTTTGTATCTTGTATTTTGAGGTGATACTGTGACACATAAATGAAAAAACAAAATGGTTTTAATTAGGTCAACTAAAATATGCGTCACATCCTGCTACGGTCCCGCACCAGCAGGCGAATAACCTGACCCCCGGCTCGATGAGCGAACTATGGATAAATCAAAGAAAATAAAAGTATCGGAGGAACACAGAGGGTTTCATTCTGCGTGGTTAGAGTTACCTGCTTTCACAGCAAACGATGCTGGCTTACCGGTATGTTTGACATGTAGAGAGAAGTTTTCAAAGGTGCTGCAGCCTTTACGTATTGGAGGAAAAACACGGAAGAGGACGATCTTCAGTCATAATTCAATCAGTTAACTCTTTTTAGGGTGCAGCTATATGTTTTATTTATTTCAAAGTGGGCCCATTTAGGGCTGCTCAATTAATCGTATTTTAATCGCAATTACAATTATGGCTTGCAACGATTACGAAAACAACGTAATCGGAATAAAATGATATTTTTTGTATTATTACTTTTTTTTTTCTTCAAATACATCTTTTTTTATTGGTTTTTCAGTTGAGTTATACTTAAAGTTCAGGGTAATCAACTGTTAAAAACATACTGTTCAAAAAAAAAATCTCCAATAAATTGATGTTTTCAAATCAAATGGATAATTGTTTTTAATAATCGTGATATCTATTATTGACCCAAATAATCGAGATTATGATTTTTGCCATAATCGAGCAGCCCTAGGCCCATTTTAATTATATTAATTTTTCTTCAAATGTGCAGAGGAATCCCAAGTGCTGTGTTGATTTATTTTAAAGTTGGCCTGTGTATTCTTTTTAATTCTCCTTATAAGAGCTATTTGTTTATTATTAGAGGTAAACAAACAGTTTTCTATAATGTAATAAATAATAAATGCAAAAAAACTGTAGTTCTTGTCTATGATGTAACAATANGTGTGCCTTGGCAGTCTCAGTTATTAGAGGTAAACAAACAGTTTTCTATAATGTAATAAATAATAAATGCAAAAAAACTGTAGTTCTTGTCTATGATGTAACAATATACTTTATAAGCTATCAAGCTATCAAATATGTTTTGCGGCACCAGACAAAAATAATTGGTGGAAAAGGGGGCAAAAAGGTTGCAGACCCCTGCCCTAGGATTATGTTACAAAATGAATGATATGACTTCCTTTATATCATACTTAGGGCTGCAGATATCACCTATTATTAAGTAGGAACACATTTTCTGCAGCACAACAACAACCAAATAAAAAAACAAGGGGAGAGGGAGTCATAGTTGACATGCTATTAAATTGACCTGCGATGTAGCATTTATGAAGCATACGCTGTTACCACTTAAGGTGCTCCGGTAGGGCTGTTATGGCAAAAATCATAATCGCGATTATTTTTTGGTCAATAATTGATATCACGATTATTAAAAACGATTTTCCATTTACTTTGAAAACATCCATTTATTGAAAAAAAAGGGGGGTAGATGATGTAGATCAGATCCCTCTGCTGGCATTAATGAGACATGCAGGAGGGTGTGGATAAATGCTGAATCACCAGTGATTAAAGCAGCTGTTATGTGTTGTCACAACAATCGGAAAAACAGATTAACAATGACTTATCAGAAGTTATAGTGTTTCTGTGCCTCTTGTTTCAGAAGTGTAACCACGCACTGTTCTCCAGCCCCACATTGTCATGCAGTCTGTGACAGGAGTGACAGCACAGGAAGAAGAAATTATAGCTGAACCCCCTCTTTGTAAAACACTTCATCTTGTTGAAAACTCCAGGCACGTTCATGCCTCCCTGATTGATTGGTGACATGATGAGTTTGAAAACCGCTTAATGTTTAGAAGACGAGTGAAACAAATCGTCAGATCTTCGCTCACGGCTCTTACAGCACAGCTCCAGTGTTTATTGCCGGTGTCTTGTTTCAGTGATGACATGGATATGTTGTTGAGTGTTTCAGTGGCCTTCAAAACACCTGTATGTAAACGAGGGGAATGGAGTTGGCCATGATGTTTTACTAGAAGTTGTAGATGGTATTTATGGCTTGCAGTGACTTTGCAATGCTATGACATAGACTATAATATAGACATCTTTAGACTGACATATTACTGAAAATGTATCTATGAATGTATTTAGTCCAAACAAGCACATTTACTTAAAAAATAGAAGTAGTTTAATGCCATCATAGATAGAATCGGAGGGATGAAACCCTCTTTAATGGTCACACATGCAGAGCACACAGCACACACAGTGAAATGTGTTCTCTGCTTTTAACCCATCCTAGTAGCAGGAGTCTAGTACTAGGAGCAGTGGGTAGCTATTGTACAGCGCCCGGGGAGCAAAGCTCAAGGGCACCACGACAGGGCCCAGGAGGTGAACTGGGACCTCTCCAAGTAGCACTCCACACTACTTGAACCGGCGACCCTACGGCTCACAGTCCAAGCCCCTACTGACTGAGCCACTGCCGGACATGGCCCTGTTTGTCCTCTAGACTCCATTGTTAATAATAGCCTGTTGGAGTATTATGATTATTTCAACAGATGGTGGCGCAAGTAAAAAACAACTTCAAACCAATTCAATTTGATTCAATTGAACTGATGACTACATTGTGCAATAGTCGTTAAAATCTGCAGCATCAATTACCCACCCTAACTCAGTATTTGTCCGGTTTTAATTTTAATCCATACCCTTGTTATAGTTTTCTTTCCCAAAATAATGCTAGATGCAGATATTTATATCATGTGTGATATAATAATGGATCATAATGGAACAAGACTAACATGAATTATGTTTTATGCCGTTTTATTGTATCGTATATATTCATATTCATGCTCAAAAGCTAGTTTAGTGTGAAAAAGAAAATGCTACAATATATTTCTAATTGTTCAGAGGTCTTCAAATCCACCTCTGGGCCAATATGTAATGGAACAACACATTTTTAGATAAAAATAATAACACTTCTGATTTTCTCAGAGGCAGCCATTTTCTTTAATTTACTATATTATGGATTATATATATGGAGAAAACAGAAGTCCCATGTGCTCAAAGAATACATATCGGCTAGTATGATAACAGAAACTGCCAAATTAGTCAAACTATTTCTTCAGATTTGTTCTCAGGCACGCAAGAAAACACTTCCAAGAGATATTCAACATTCCAATAGCAGGCACAGGTGTTTTAATCCAGCAGAGGTAATATAGAAGAGATCAGAGATAATAAACACATCTCGACAGACGGTAATAACCAAAGCTGTGACAGATTTATCGTCAGCAGTGAAGTCTCATGACACGTACACTGCTTCCTCCGACACTCACAATGAAGTTTAATTATTGCTGTTGAAGAGCATTTGTCTCTCTCAAATGTCACGGTTGTTTCCTGTATTCCATGTCATACCTGAGTGGTGTTCTATGTGTGTGTCTGAGCCTTTGATGGAGACATTGCCCTTGCTTATATTGACCTAAATATAGCAGTTATTCTGAATTTGTTCCTGTGCGCCTCTCACCATCTGACGCAGCTGTCAGGAAGGTTTGTCAGGGTCACTGTGCACGGCCAGCTGGCTTTGATGTTGAAAGTACACATTTTGTTCAGCTGTGGGTCCTGAATGCTTGGAATTCGGGGAGGTGAAGGAAGACTAGATTGACATTTATTTGACGGTTCAAGGGAGTCATCTCAAATATTAATACTCATGGTTTTGCTGTAATGGGCTATTATAGATTGTAAATAAGAGTGACGGTTGAAAATTCTCTACCTTTTCTTGTTGTGACACACAAATCTGAATTAGGTTTGATATATTTGTTTTGACTGCCCAACACTTAATCCTCAGAAGTATATTTGGTTTACCACGAAAAACAATGCAGAGAAAAGCAGAAAAACCCTCTC